GACAAACGCGGAACCGTTACGCGATTATTATCATTACGATACGCGACATCTGAGTTTCTGTAAAACGCGAGTCTCGCACAATATCTCGCATTTCCATGTTTAGTGACGTCACGGGGCCCAAAATGGCAACTCCGCGCCCATCTGCGAACGCTTTCACTGTTTCCTATATCTGGGAGAGAATCTATTAAGCGAGTTTCGGGGAATGTTGCATGGCTGATAGTAAACCTGCCTCGATGGGTTATGGTGGTCTTCGAGTAATGAGAAAATTCATATTTGATTTTCTTTTTTCCCTGTTATCTGTGGGGGGGAAATACCACTCGCGGCAGGTTTCGCATCACCTTAAGGTGACCTGGTTTGTGGTGGAGCCGGTTCGAGGGTATTCGCGCGTGGGCGAGAGGGCGCTGCCTCGTGTCGCGCCGTGGGCCCGTTCGACGCCATTCGACGCCCGTCGTCGCGGCGCACGCGCGCCTCTTCGCACCTGCCGGCGCGGCGCCGTGGCGCCAGACGCGGCGCCGGAACGACGGGACGCTCGCGAGAGGCGCCACCGACGCTTCCAGTCTTTCTCGCACCGTGTCGCCGTTTAAAACAAATCCTTAAGATGATACGAAAGCGTCAAATTATTTCAACGAATTCGAATTAATGTTTCATCAACGATCGGACGCCACTTTTACATCACAAGGCGATATGAAAATTGGTATCTCAGGAGACAAACTATTAATGAAACTTTCCCTTATAAAATTATTTATCAAACAATCGACTCCCTCGGGCGCCACACTTTAAGGTGAATTTTGCAACGATCTCTTTATAATAATTTTGCCGAAACGATATAATAAGCATGCCATTCTGTAGAATACTCATTGTAGTATGATACAGCTGTTGATATAAATATAAATGTCGGTAACTGTTTCAGATGGCATATCGATTAAGAAATGTAATTTTCACGTCATTCAAGTATAAGTCGTGTTAAAATTACGAATTATACATAACGTTTGAAATTAGTATGCAATGTCTGAAATGCGAGAACGAGTTTCGATTTTTATGACACTTTATGTTGGAAACTTTTCAAGCTAGCCTGCGATATTAAAAAGGGTGTATTTTAAATACATCCGCAAGTTTACCATAACTTTAATATACGCTATTAGAATAACACTTCCAGTACGTGTTTTTTTTTTTTAACAGTACACGTGCAATTACCTTGAATATTCTTGCACGAATGCCCGAACCGAAGTGATTATATGTTGGCTAAGGAAATTACTATATAAATAAGAGTTACAAGTCCTCGTAAGTTCAAATATGTATAATATTAAAGATAACGTAATTTTATCCTAACATGGTGATAAGCCAGAATAAATGAATTTTCTTGATCGAATTTCATTTAGTCGAATGTCACCGTTTCGAGCCCTCTAGTCCAGATTTCCATATTTCGAATTTCTTGAAATTTCTAGAAAACCGTGAGATATTACACTTTTGTCAACTTTAGAGGTTATTTATCTTCGAACCGATTTAGAGATATCCGATTCGCTCCATTCAGGCAAAACTCATATGTATATGTCGTACTTCCGTATCATCGGTCAACTGTACAAGGCGGTTTTAACATTGCGATATATATATAAGGGCTCCACCTTCCACGCATGCGTCATCGTTACCACATCATGCGCCACAAGCGACGCCATTTTATGTAACCTAGATCATCATAGAAATAAGTGAATTATAACCCATGCGAACAAAAACGCGGAACAACAATTCTCCCTACCCACCCGTGAAACAAACTCCGGAAAGGTCTTTCTCCCATTCTCTTCCTTTCTTTCCCAACTATGGAATTTCCTTTGTCCCGAGCCTGCCTAGCGCGGTTTAAGGGTTATCTACCGCGAACATAACCTAACACAGACATAAAACTAAAAGAGCAGTTATAAAATAGAAACGCGCCACGCACGTTGGAAGTGGACCCTCCTTTTTCAAATTTCACTGTAATAGTCAATAATTGTGTGAAAAACGCACCAACGTCAATTATTGAAGGCTCTGATATGGGAAACGAAAGTGCCAGGACAATTGTACCAGAATTTAGAACACTCTGGTAATCGAGAAACATGCATTTGAACGAGATAAAGGCAAAAAAGTGTCTTATGCGCTTCTATGCCAAAACGATGGCAATACGAGGTCTCGAAGTGAAACTTTAGTTGACCTGGAAATCACAGATGACGCAGGGGGTCCCTCTGCAATCAATTAGGGCCTCAGAATCCACGAATCCAGGGGAATTCTGGAGTTTTACTTCGATTAACATTATAATTATAGTACGAAAACGACAGATGGAGTATGCCATTTTGGTACAATGCTCGATATAATTCGACACAGCCGTAAATATAAAAAAAGAACGCCGGAAAAGTAGGTATTTAGAAAAAAAAGCCCTTTTCACCGACATCAATCAAATTCCCCGAGGTGTTTCACTTCACCTTAAGCGTGAAAAAAAAAGTGAACAAATAGCGTCCCACTTTTCCACGCACGGAACGTGCGTTTCTTACCGCGGGAATTTTTACCCCTTACGAGTTTTACTCCACGGCGGGGAAATGAAGTAAAAAGCACGCGTAGAGTGTTTAAGAGAACGTCACCTCGACATTTATCCAAAGTTATGAATAGAATGAATAGAAAGGGGGGAAACGGCGAGGGCGATGCCCAGGGTGGCGCCTCGACTCGGCTCGACTCGCGGCGAGTTAGCTCGCACCCGGTATAGGATCGACAAAAGGTATTGACCTCGCCACCGCTCGCAATGGTACATGCGAGCCGGCCCGTTCCAGCGCGGCTTTACACGGCCATTATTATTTCGTCACATCGAAGTCGGCGCGAGCGAGCTGCTCTCTCGGACGGTCCCCGAGCGACGCCCGATCGATTCGCCTTTTTTACGCCGCCGACCGCCGCGCGAGTGGGCGGACGATCGATCGCCTACGACGGAGATCTCGAGTCGGCCTCGTCTTGAGGGGGTCCGACAAAAATTCATACGTGAAAACAAATAAATAAAACGCGCCCTGTCATCTTTTGACCTTTCTTTGTCTCAATACGGGACGCGATCGAAGGCGACGGAAGCAAGGCACGCTTCTGACTTTAAACACCTCATTCTTTGTAAAGGACAACTCTTTTATGTCGGTTCCCGAGGACATCGATCAATCATTTCATTTTATACAATATCAATTTCTGAAGTACCATTTTGAAGTATAATCGTTATGCGTGGCATTCTTTGCAAAGTGGAATTTTTTCAAGTCGGTCCTCGAGGCCGTGCAAGATTATTTCGATTTAGACAATACAATTTCTTTTTTCAGGCAAACTTCTATGGGCACGGCATGGTGATTTCAGTTAGTTTTCAAGGCCACGCGGAATCATAGCGAAAAAAAAGAAACGTACAATTTGGGTCGCCCCAGGGAAATAATGCTTCTCTCTCGTTGTCCATGTAGTAAAACCGATTCCACGGAAGCTTTTCAATGTAAAAGAGACTCTTTCGTTTTTCTGTCGTACGTGGTCTCGAATGCCTTTCCATTATACGAGGTGAACTGGATATGTCGCGCACCATAAAAATGAAGAAATGCCCTGTTTTACAAATTTCTTACAATTGTGCTCCGTATCTGGTTCGCTCCGTTCACCCTGTATACCGGAAGCATCGTCTCCTCAGGGAACGCATTTATATTTGAAACTGTACATCGTGACGATTTTTCAATTAAAATATTGAATGACGTTAGTGCAGTGAAATTATTGGAGAAAGACATTCATAATAGCAATTTTACATTTTGACTATCTTCTAACTAGAGTATCGACTGACGTCAGTGCGGCGAAATTATTGGGGAAGACATTTATGTTTGCACCTGTACATCGTGACGTTTTTCCAATTAAAATATTAAATGACACGAGCGCAGCGAAATTATTCGGGAATACACATCCACGTTTGCTAGTGTACGTCGTGACTATTTTCCAATTAAAATGTCGAAGGACATCGGCACAGCGAAATTATTTGAGAAAGATGCAAAGAAGGATCATGAATTAGCGTAAGGATGCGACTTTGTCCCTTCCTTTTTATTTCCTTCGGAATGAATGATCGGAGCTCGACCGACGGAGGCGAGTCAAGGCGGACCGAGCGAGCTGGATCGGGTTCGCGGATCGTCGACCACTGAAACGACGATACCCTGAAACCTGGTTACAGCTCCTCGGAGGAGAGAGATCGGATTGCCCCCCTGCCGATGACGTGATTACGACTCCCGCTCTGGTTTTTCCCGAAAGCGACTCTCGTCGTCCTCGAGACTCGCCTCTCGTTTTCGAGAAGTCTCCTTCGAGCATGAATGGGGAAGAAGGCCGCAGCTACTCGGCAATTTCGACCGCGCTCTAACAGATCTACCTTAACAAAAAAGATGTCGCAATACTTAGAAATAAAAATCCTAGAAATTTTAGACCACCGGAAAGATATGGCGAATCAATTTTAATTCGAAAATACCATTAACTATGGAAATGTGTTACGCCAAACGGTGTATATGTCGTTATTAAATGTGCACCATTTTGAATTTAAGTACCGCAGTAATTTGGCAAGGTATAACGTTCATGACTTGCAGGGAGATATACAGCACAATATATTGTGCATACTTTTCCTCGTTCTTTCATAATGTTTGGCTCTAAGGTGCGGCTAGGAGTAGTTTCATAGCCTTCAATTATAGATTCGAAAATTCTGTCGGTTGTTTTATTTGCTTTCTTTTTTTTTTTTTTTGAAGTTTCATGCACTTAGAGGAAAACATCATTGAGCCGAAGATATATAAAGATGATTAGTGGCAAAGAAATATTTTGTTAATTCAAAGAATAATTATTTAACTCGAATAAACTCGGATGAATTGGCTGCGATGTTCGGAAATACGAGCATTCATTTGAGTAAACTAATTATTCGTTGAATTAACAAAATATTCCTTAAAATGAAAATGAAAACAGGGTGGAGCTTAAAAATTTGTCGGAACAAAAAATCAGGAAAAACTCACCCTCGGGTCTCAGACGCTCGGCGATCAGGCAGTACGGGGGTGGCGGCGACTCTGAAAAACCAAAGAAGTGCGTAAATGTAACGGCGATGCGTTTTTCTTTCTTTTCTTTTCTTTTCTTTTCGGTTACGACGAGGCGATTTTACGAGTTACCATCCACCAAAGCCGCTTCGCCGAGTCGAAGAAATTTCCACGAAGCAACGCTGGTCGATGGCTTAACGACCGCTCGGCTTCAACGAACTTGCGCCAGTGGGGAGAAAAGTGCAAGGCACGGTTTACGGTGAAAATGAAAATTGGGTTTTCGGTCGAAATTGCGGGTTTTCCCGTGTAAACGTGCGGGCCATCGAAACCCCTAAAAACAGGGTACCGGAGGGCATTTTTGCCCTAACGAGTTGCTTCGCGTATTTAATGACACGCGGGGAATATTCTACTTCAACGAGTTAACGCACTTTATGATGTATTACGCGACCCACCTAATAATCTACATGTCGTTCACTGATGGAAGATGTTCGCGGCGGGTGCAACTCCGCGAACGGGGACGAAAAAATCGTGACATCGCGCCCGTCTCGAGACTTAAGCGACAAAGACGATGGCAAGGCAAAGAGACGAGCGTTTCGCGCCTCCCCGAAACGCGAGACGAGGAAAGAATTCAAAAATCCCGCGTCGCGCATTCCACGGAGGGGGGGACTCAGAGGTAACTTTTTGTTCGGTGTATCGTTGCATAATTGCACGCAATGGGACGCTTTGATAAGTTAAAAAGGCAGACAGCCATAATTTAGATATCTACTGTCTTGGGATATTCAATTTTGCGGTAACACAGCAAATGACGTCACACGCGGTCCGTCTCCATTGCGCCCGCAAAATGGAAATTCTATAATCGATGCGAACACTTTAAGGATATCCATAAGCATAGTTGTTATTTCAATTCTTCAAGATTAATGCAAAGAAACCCTCCGAAACCCCAAGAAGTACATATCTGTGTCTATTTCCTATAATAATAATTATTCAACAGTCGTGAAGAGTTCGTTACACCGCCAAGCGCCCGTCACGTGACGTGTCGCCATTTTGTTTTCTCTCATACGGCAATTAAGAGCCAATTTAAACAATGACTTTAACCTAACCTCGAAAAACCCCGAGAAACTAAGATGTCGACAAAAGCACGCGACCTATCCGTGCGAAGGGAAATGGAATTTCGCCGTCGGTTTCGCTCCACATGACCCTGTGGCGTGAAGCGCGACTGACGTCACACGCGGTCCGTCTCCTTTGCGCCCGCAAATGGATATTCTATTATCGGTGCGAAACTGGCGCACCTTTTTTTCGTCCTTTTACATCTACATTCGCGTGATGCGCGAGGGTCGAAGCTCGCTACGAATGTCGGAAACGTCAGGCCGAGGCGATCGGGTGGAGGCCATTAATATCGAGCGGAATAATCGCCGTTCTATATCGGGAATCAAAAGAAAGAGACAGAGAGGGAGAGATATGAAAAGCGTGGGGCCGAGAGGGAAAGAATCTCGGGAAAACGATCCCCGCGATGTGTCCCTCGCCGCCATTCATTCCCATCTACTCCGGATTTCAAGACTCTTAGATAATCCGTGAACCTTGAATCTCTCGAACGTGTAGAATGGAGAACTGAATTATTCCCAAGTACGAAAGGAATGTGGAATTGAAAACGCGTTTAGAGAGAAGATAATTACAAAAACAGGAAAAATGAAACAGCACGTTAACAGTTTGTTATCACCTACACCGAGTTAAGCAGTGTTCCGTACTTTTTATTATAAATAAATTCCCTTGTAGCAGATAACGCAGGAAAGTAGGAAATCCTAGTCAGCGGGATACCTAATAACGCGCAAGTACTCGGTCATTTCAATTGAATAGTTTTCTTTAATTACGTCGAGCAACCGCGCCAGATAAGACAACGTCGGTAAGTGGCACCTTGCACTCGGAATGACACTTACGTATTTCTGTCACAGAGGCGCGCGGGACACGCTAAGCAATATCGAAAGTTCAAGCCACGCTCTTCGATATATCCTGCCCACGCGGTGACTGGTCGGATCTACTACGAAGCCGACCGCATCGAGGAATGTTACATCACGAGTGTTCGGCACGCATGCCGAGATTTCACGCAACGGCCGTTCGTTCAATGAGACAGCCGGCGCCGCCATATTGGATTCGTCCAAATCGAAAACGGCACAGAAAAAAAAAATACCCTCTTCGATAAATCTTCTGCCAAGCCCTTCTGATATATGGGTGAAATTCATTAACGCGTAAAAAAAATTTTTGGCCACGCCACGACGACCCCAAATTTCAGCCGAAGCTTGCTTTTTCGCGTTTTTTACAGGATCCAAGGTCCTACGGCCACCGATCTGGGGGGAAGGGGAAAGCAAACCTATTATCAAGGTGAAGTGAAACACGTCGAGGAAGTTGACCGACGTCGATACCAGGTCAATTAAATTTTCGCTCCGAGACCTCGTATTTCCATCGTTTTGGTATAGAAGCGCATAAAACACTTTTTTTGCCTTTATCCCGTTCAAATGCGAGTTTATCGATTACCAGAGTGTTCTAAATTGTCGTAAAATTGTCCTGACCCTTTCGTTTCTCATATCGGAGCCTTCGATAATTGTATATTGATCGAAATACGAGAGCCCGACGCCATTTTGAATCTGGTCTGGGATAAGTTAAAAAAATCTTTTCCAAAAATCCAAATTCTGAATGGGTCAGGACAATTCTCGGATGATCACGAGTTATGTGTCAAAGTTTCGGACAGTTTGGTCCAATACCCTTTAAAAAAAAGTGTTGTACTCGAATCGACTGATTGGAAGGGGGTTTCACTTCACCTTAACTCTGGACCGAAGGCAGATGCTAACTCTGGTTCTGGCGTTCGCGAATCCTGGGGAAAAGCGGCGCGTCTTTCCCCGGGTATTCGAGAAAACCGAGACCAAATTAGAAAACCGGAAGACAAAGGGAACGAGAAGAGAGGCCTGAAGAAAGCGGTAGAAATCGAGAAAACATTCGCGATCGCGGAGTCATCCCTTCCCCCTCGCGGCTCGCCGAGCAGTGCTTTTCCCGCATCGCGTGCATTTCCTCGGCCGCTGATTCGCGAACGTGGACGTCATGCGAGCGTATCTCACCAATCGCGGGGTTCACCGAGAGCGTCGAGAGACAGAGAGACAGAGCGACAGAGAGACAGAGAGAGAGGGAGAGAGAGACGCGAGCGAGACGCCCGGCCGACTCGACGAGCGTGCCTTCTACTCCGCCGACTTTGCCGCAGCCGAGTGCAGTCGCGACTACCAGATTTTCACACGTTTTTATCCCAATCGGATAACAATCATTTATTGTCAGATTTACATATCTTTCGACCAATCGGATAAACGGTCATACGTTATCAAATTTAAAGAGAATGCAGGCTCGTCCCGCGACTAACACGTACTTTTGAAGCAAAGATTTAGTTGCAGCCAAACGTCACAGGTGGCTTGGTTGGTTCGTCAAAATATAAACATTCATGAATTCGTGGGATTTCGGCAGTTTTCCATCGATCTTTTAATCATTACTTTACCGAAATGACATCTCGAACCCTTAAGTTGGTATAACCCTCAACGCAGACTGTAAAAGACTTCAACGTAAATATAAACGTCGTTAACGGGACGCGTCAGCTTATCTTCCCCCTTGAGTATTCAAAACGACATTACCACCAAATAGGGTAGAGATGAATTTTACTTTATCGACGTCGATTAAATTCCTTAGCGCCTGTCGTATCCTCTTAACGGTGCGTGTCCGTCTGGGATTCCTGTTTACACGAATCCGCGGGGTCACGTGACCGTCCATGTCGAACTCAAAGATCAGCGGCTGCATAATCGGAAGATCCACCGCTCGGACGCACACAGTCCCGCCTATATAAAACCGCGGTTGCGCCGACGGAATCGGAATCGCGGGGCGGTCGCGGGTCGCCGCTTGCGGCCCGCGGCATGCGGCGTTCCTTGGCAGCGGCTCGGAGTATAATACGGTACGGTCAGCAGGAGCGACAGCAGCGCGGCGGCGGCGGCGGCGGCAGTCAGCACGCTCGGCTTATGTCGGCTGGCCTCGACAATTAGCTGGCGCCAGCAATGACACGCAGCGGCGCCGGGCCGGCGCCCCCCTCGCCGCGCCGCCACCGCCGCCGCCGGCAGCGCGACGTCGCCCCTCTCCCGTCGCCCCCGCCGGCGCGCAAGAGCGCCCGGCTCGCCCAATATACGCGTTATTTTTAGATTCATTTCCTTCTGGCAATAACTTTGATTGCGCGGCTATTGGTAAGTGGCGGACCCTCGGGCGCGCGACTTTGGCGCCGCCGTCGCGACGACCCGGCGCTCTCCCGGGCGATCGTCACCTGCTCGTCGCCGCTCTCTCGTCCTTTCCGCCGTCGTGCCGAGGTCCGACCCCGAGTGGCGGCCGAGTTGAGACCGATTGATCCTCGCGTGTTACGTAAAACAAACTGGCGCCTGGCCGGTATGGATACAGGGTGGCCCGAAAAAGTCCCGCGAGGCTGAGGAGCGCGCCAAGGTTGGGCGGTAATCAGGGTTGTGCGGTGACGATTCGTATATTTTTTCTTTTTTTTTTTTTCTTCTCTCCCACGTAAGATACTAACACGTGAAACTTTTCACCGAACCGGGTGTATCGAATCGTTTCAACCTTTACAATTCGCATGTGGAGGTTATAAGGCCTCCTTAGGTGCCACTTTCGTATCACCTTAAAACGCTAATATTCTCCCACTCTAAAATTCAAACGTTAACCTCAACGCGTGAGAAAATATTTTGGAAAAATTCAATGCAACCAATTCGGAGAAAAGTTTCATAGCGAGGCCTCCTCAGGTGCCACTTTCGTATCACCTTAAAACGCTAATATTCTCCCACTTTAAAATTCAAACGTTAACCTCAACGCGTGAGAAAATATTCTGGAAAAATTCAATGCAACCAATTCGGAGAAAAGTTTCACAGCAAGGCGTCCTCAGGTGCCACTTTCGTATCACCTTAAGACCCTAATCTTCTCCCACTCTAAAATTCAAACGTTAACCTCAACGCGGGAGAAAATATCCCCGAGTGCCGACGACGTAAACGGCGCGAAACGTTTTTTTTCTTTTTCTCTTTCTGCCTCCGAAAAGACTCTGAAAGCGTCCCCAAAAAGCTCATTAAGATTCTCGAGGCGATGGGAGTGCTCTCTCCTTTCCACGGCTCCTCCCGAGCCGGGACGAGAGGGGTCGATTTGAGGAGACAGTACCGATAATTGGCGGTACGGCATTAACGTTAAGCACGGCGAATTACAGGCTGCGGGAGTGCCGCCTTTTGCGCGTCCGCCTTACTTGGCTACGGCAAAGTGCCCTCCCCCCGCCGCGCAATTTTGCACTTCATTGAAGCCGCCTCGGCAATCGTCTTGCCCCGTCCCGGCTCATCTCGTTACCTCTTTAACTTGGGAAAAGAACGTGGAATGCCGAGGGGATCGTCGCACCGACGCACCCTTTCGCGGCATTTCCCTCCATACTCCCCGCGCCTTTAAGGCGATGCGAAAGTGACGTCAGAGGTCCCGTTTATCAAACTTTCCTCCGAACCGGGTGAACCGAGCCGTTTCAAACTGTACAGTATACATATAGAGGCTACAAGAAAGGTTCCGACACTCATAACAATTTGATAATTCAAGAATTTGTTTAGACATTTTTATTACTTTGTATTAAAAAAAAAAGAGAAAGAAAAAAAAATGAATTTTTACGGAGGTCCGGACCTTCATTGTAGCCTCGAGATTCACGGAGTAAAGTTCGAAACGATGCGGTGCCACTCGTTTAGGAGAAACGTTCCATTAACGATTGACCCCTCAGATGCCGCTTTCACGGCGCATTAAGGCGATACGAAAGTGACATCTGAAGCCCGCTTACGAAACTTTTCTCCGAGCTAAATCTACCGAATCATTTGAAATTTTACCACGAAAGTCGGAAGGTCTTAAAGGTCCTCCCGCCCGTGAAGAGTATTTAAAAAGAATGAAATTTCTCTTATAAGGCATTTGTGTCCGCCAATGTACACCATGACGTGAAAAAAAAAAAGGGGGGGGAACAAATTTCCAGCTTCCTCGAATCTGCAGATTTTGAAGCGTTAAATTTTATTAGCTTATCTCGGTTTCTCCCTAAGATGTCAAAGGACACTATTTAGTTGACATGCAGCGGCGCTGCAGTCGGCCAAGGATTCCCACCTCTACTGCGCAAGCTCGCAAAATGGCGGCACCGGTTCTCAAGATGGCGGCTCTTACGCCACTCGCGCTCGCTTCGATCACACCCCTGTTTGCCGATTACTTCGCTACCGAGCCAATGGATGGCCAATACGCAATCGACGGGGATACACTCACGGAATTTCCATGTGTACCGTGCGTACGTTAAGCACATATATTTAGCAAATCGGACGTATCGCGCGGCGAGTTTCTCGATAGTCACGCTCCGCCTTTTTCGTCCCCAACGTGGCCGCGGAGGAAGCTTTTCGCGCGAGTAAACGAGTCAATAATATTTTATCAATCTGAAATATGCGATTCCCAAATTTCATTTCCACTATCACCGGACGGCGCATTGTTGGACGCAATGGAGACGAGCAATATCGGTCATGGTACTTAATTCTGCCGAAATTGAAAATACTAACATCAATTAGTATCACCTGCCAGGGATAAATGAAGTATTCGATCCGTCGTCGGGAGATTACTCCTGAAATTACGCTTACCGATGTAATCGCTTCGAGCCTAGGTTAGTTTACTTCGCGGTTCGTGCACGTACATTGCAAACGGGGTTTACCGTTTAACGATGGATCGCAAGACCGACTTGCTCGCTTCGCAATTTCCTCCTCTCGAAGGAATAGGGTTGTTAAACAACCTAGCTTTTCGACTCGGTAACTCAGCTGCTCAAGACAAAAAGAAAGCAAAAACAAAAAAGAGAAATAAATAAAAAAAGACCAACAACAACGAGGTTTATAATTATGGCAACCTTCAAATGCCGAAGAAACGTATCTCCACTAATCAAAAACACCGGCACTCTACATGAACATCGGACAAATGTATACCATACACATCGAAGGACACTTCTACGTGCAAATTCGGTGAAAAGAGGTCGAAATTCTGAAAAACAAGGAAAGATGAGGAAAGAAATCCGTCCACGTGTTAACACCCTAAGAGAGAAAAAAAAAAGTTGATTAACTCAAAAAGATATGTCCTGCAACAACAAAATCCTGCGATCGAATACGTTCCAAGAAATGTCAGATGGAGTAAACGAAATTAGTTTAAATCTGCAATATTATCTTTTTTCTGAACAAAAGCAATTGTGTATGATTCAGGCAACAATATGTATGTAAAAAAATATATATTTTTATTTCAGTCGACTAATATTTTTTCTCAGGGCGAAATAAGGGTCGTTATCGTATAATCGAGGTCCTCATTTATTTCATAAACATGGAAGAGATTTCCATTTCTCCTCGTGGGCCCGAACTAGGTGATAATTCTCATTAAATTGGATGCACGAGCTTTAAACTAGGAGGAAGGGTTAAGCGCCCCAACCGTGATTCTCATGAAATTCCTTACCTGTGGTTACTTAATCTCGGATTAGTGAAATCTGAGCGACACCGACGGAAGTTAGTACAACCGAAGTTTAAAATTCCACCGTTTGTCGACCATCCGAAATTGGGCGATCACCCCAAATCACGCCTTAATTTTTGATTAAGGATTTTATCCGGAACTTAACGCGCGGTTGGAGTTCAGGACCCAATAGGACGCGGTTAATGAAAAGTAGGTAAAACGTCGGTTAACCTAATTTTGATCGCTAATCCGAGATCGACCGAAGGCAAGAATGAATAAATTGCACGGCAATCGTAACTGGAGCACCTAGTCCTTAAAGAGCGGGCGAGGAGCATCCACGTGGCCACGTGGTTCCGCCCCACCCCCGGGGAGAGAAGGAGAGCGGACTTACCGGGCTTGCAGAGTCGACTCCAGTGGTAGGGGTTGCAGCACACGTAGACGGGGTCTTTAGCGGAATGACAGACGGGAAGTCTCTTGAGCTCGGAGGGCCGCGAGAGGTCGGGCCAGCGCCAGATCTGGCAGCAGAGCAGGTGCGGCGCCCCGCGGACGCGGCAACGCTGGGGCTCGGGGGGCGCCGGCGGGAGCTGCGGGTGGTGGAGGTGCCGGCGCCGGTGGGGGTGGCGGTGGTGGTAGTGGCGCAGGTGCGGGTGGCGGCGCGGCCGCTCGCCAGAGTCCTCGGGGCAGTCGTCGGGGGCGGGCGGGCCTCGGCGCGGGACGAGGACGCACTCGCCGAGGTCGGCACCGCCGCCCTCGACAGCGGCCAGCAGCATCTCGAGCTGCGTCTCCTTGAGGGACTTGAGGAGGTCCTTGCAGCGCAGCAGTCGGTCGTCGGCCGGGTCCTCGGGGTCGCTGTCGGCCCCGGAGCAGCAGCCCCTGGTCGGCGCCGTCGGGATGCCGGGGCTCGCGTCGCTACCGTTCGCAGCGGGGTGATACCGTTCGACCTCTTGAGCTTCACGCTCGGTTTCATGCTCCCCGCGGACCTTGGCCTTTAGCAGACGTCTAGTGAGCACCGTCCGCTTGCTCCAGAACATGAACATGAAACAGGATTTCCCGGTTGCGCATTTGGCGGCCAGTACTTTGGAGGCGGGCCCGAGACGCTCGAGACGCTCGCGACGCCCGCGGCGGCAGCGGCGGCGCCCCTCCGCCCCGGGGGGCCGCCAGACAGGAGCGAAGACGCTCTCCTCCACCACCGAGTCCGCCTCCTACCGCCCCCCCTCGGGGCTGCCCCCGACCCTTCCGGCACTCCCGGCACTTCCGGCGGTAACACGCGCGCCGGCACCCGGGACCCGCTGCATAACACCCGCGAACGACCGACCGAGCCTGCCTCCACGGAGATCCGGCAGGGGACGCCTATCGACATTTTTTTACCCCACCCGTCGAGGCATCGCCCTCGCCGGTCCGGCCGCACCGACGACACGAGCGACCTCGCCCGACGGATCGCATCCTTCGCTGCCACTCTCCCTCTCGGAGCCCCTTGGCTCCCGGACGCAGAGCCAGAACCCAGAGGAGAGAAGACGTATCGCGTTACGCGGCACACGGCACTCGCGCGCTGCTTTCGGCCCTACCGCGCCGCTCGGCGAGACTCGACTCGGCCCGAGCTGCGAGCACGAGGTCTCCGAGGCCGACCCATCCTACCGCCGGCCTCCCCCTCCCGGCCGTCCTGCCGCTCGCCGCGCCGACACGCCAGCCCGGGCATACTAAACACATCAGAGGCGGCCGGTTAAATATGGCGCTGGCCACGCGGTGCGCTCGATCGCCGCCAGGGGCGCTGCCGTGGCGCGCGGAGAGAAGACGCGACTCGCCGGCCGGCGAGCCCCTTCCGAGAATCGCTCGGCGGCCCGAGTTCCACCGAGGACGAGACCGGGCCGAGACCGTGTTTTACTCGAAAACTACCCAGAAATGCTAGCGACGTCGACCGGCACGAGCGGCGCTCGTCCCGTCGGCATTTTTTATAACGGGGCAGCGGCGAAGCGCTCAAAACTCGGTGGAACTCCGTCACCCAGGAGCGCTTTGTGGAACCGACCCACCAAGGGGCGACCAGTCGAATATTTCGCCTCGTTTGATTCAACTCCAGCGGGCATTCGAGTCGACTCGAGTCGCTGATATTGTTATATTCGCCTCATCGACAAGAACGAATAAAAATTGCGGCAGCAAGAAGGCGAAATCTCGTATCGAAAGTTGAGAGTTTACTCGAGGAACGTTTCAAACGATTCGGTACACCCGGTTCGGAGAAAATTTCCCGACTCGGCGTTTGTCCCCTCGGATTCCAATTTCGTATCGCCTTAAAGTGATATAAAATGATTTTGTATTCATAAATCGTGAGAATATTTGTAAAACTTTTCTCCAAACTGGGTGCACCGAATAATTTGAAACTTTAACGCGTGGTTATGGAGGTTCTAATAAAGGTCTTGAAACTCAAGAAATTTCGTTTTTCGATAGAAAATTCCTTTTCCTGGTTCTTGCCCGGGATGGATACCTTTTTTTTCTTTTTTGAAAAATGAAATCTCGCGGAAATGACTCGACTTGTCGATGTTTCCGAATTCGAGTAACTCGAGGTGATGAAGTACTCGACTTGTCGCATTGTTACCGTCCTTGTTAAGAGCTTGAAAGTCTCGTTTTCTCTCCGACGTCAATCAAATGATGAAATGGTGAAATAAATGTTCCAAGGCTCGTATTCCAAAACCTCGCTCTTTCTCACCGACTCTTGGGTTTGAAAAATCGTTTCAAGAGGCCTCCTTAGTTTTGTCTCTAAAATCGATTTCTTTTTAGACCGATCAAAAACAGTTTCACGAAGAAGAGGAAGGAAACGTTACAACTGTAAAACATTAAACGGATTTTCCAGCCAGTATTATGTTTACCTTGGAAAATATGTTTTTGGGCCACTTCAGTAAATTACGTGTAACTCTGGATTTATTATTTTTACCTGAAGATGCCGTTATATTGTTTTAAAATACGTTTTAACTTTCTAGTACTAACTCTTTATCTACGGTTGGATATACCCAGAATGTTACAAGTTCGGACGTATAGTTCCTTTTTCTGTTCGTGAAAATCTTCTTTTTTTTTTCGGCCGTCAACATTAACGAGGCTCCTTAAGTAAGATATGTGATATACTTCTATAAATATTATCCCACGACTTCTGCGGTCTCAGCGAGTTGGAATGTAAAATGGAACACTAGTTCGCCGCAACATTCTTTGGAACCATTTCGTGGAACCTGGTCAGCCGTCTCCCGCTTGTCACCGCCCAGAGCAAGATTTTGGAACGCAGCCCGAGAAACCTGGAGTTCCATTTTCGAAACTATTTGGAAATTATCATATGCAACCCCTTGCATTTTTAAACGCCCTCACCGAAATTCATCTTAATATAAAAAACAACGATGAATGATAATATATTAATTATTTCATAATTTCGGAAACAGACCTCCAGAAACGTATCTACAGTAGACTATCTAGGATTATAGCTTGACCATTTTATGTCGCTCATCGTGTTTTTCAATGAAACAATATTTTTTTTTTCAAGTATATTACACGTTGGAAAATCAAATGTGCACTGATATTCATGAATACCCTGCTCGTTGAAAAAGTTGCAATATCAAAGATAATAGTCGTTTAAAATAGAGACAAACATATGTTGTTTGTGATGACGCAATGTATGACTCAATTTTGGTTTATGAAATATTCGCAATTAAGGAAGTTACAGTTTTCTTTCATTATGCAACACAATACGCGTGGTCATCATAAGTTTTTTTTAGATGTTATAGTTCTTTCAGCGAGCAATGTAGAATGTTTGATTGGCCTGATTCCCGTCTGTAGTCAAGACTACGTTTAGAGGTAACCACCAATGTTGCCAGGTCATGACAACAAAAATCCGCAGATCGGAACAACTCATTTCAGATTTCCATAAACGAATTTCTCATTAATAAATGACGCCACGGAGTATCAGGACCTTCATTAGAACTTCCATAATTACGCATTAAAACTTCAAATTATTCGGTCCACTCAGTTTGGAGAAAAGTTACCCAAATATTTTTACGTTCTGAGATATCTAGAATGACCCTTTCATATCCGGTTAATCATTCAGTATCCCACTTTGGAATTAACAGATTCGTAAAATTAATAATACATATCCGACTACAAAAGTATGATAAAAAATTTCATTAACGAGAATTTCCTTCGAAATTCCTCATTTCTTCGGTCTGTCCTGTCTAATTCTGAACCGTCATTTCCTCCGATTTGAGGAAAAAATGCTTCAGACCTGGCAACACTGGTAACCACCTGCCCACTCGGCTGTCGCGCCGCCTATGGGACGGGGCGCGCTACGCCAATGGGCGGTCTCGTCTCGGCGTTGCGCCGGTTCGCTGGTTTGCCGGTCTACCGGCAGACAGACGCCAGCGCCTGCCCGAAGCGCCCGCGAGCGCCCGTGAGCGCCGCAAGCGCCAGGCAGCGCCAGCGCCTCTGTCCCACTGGGGGTCAACATTCCAAGGCGAATTTCAGTCACGATATCTCGTAAAGAAACGCCCACGTCCACTTTGAAATGACAAAGAAACGGCCGGCCGACGAGCCGAGGCGAGCAGGGGCGCCCATCCTTGCGCTTACTTAAGATACTTACAAGGCTGGGTGCAGGACCGAAGACGCACCTGCGACAAGGCGCGACCGGGACCTGTGAACACATTGCGGATTCATTAATGACTCTCCTGCTGAAGAACACCGTAAAAATAGGATTTCCTTGTGAAAAGGCGTGGAGCGTATTTTGATAGAAACCTTTCGGTTTGTACGAAAGTCTACAATATTTTATTCAACACAGACGTCGCGGGTACTTTTGAGGTTATAGTCATCAAAATAGCTTGGGCCACATTAGCCCACTGCGAAGTATTAACGAGACATATTTCCCGTCCGTGACGCCATTTTAGTAGGAAATGAGATTCTTTCCCGACGTCAACATGTTAACGAAGGATCTTTTTCATAACTAAAAATAATACCGCTGTTCATTTCAGGAAATTAGACGCGGCTTGGAGAGGAACTGCAGAAATAGGATTTACCTGCAAAACTGCCGGGTAACGTATAATGAAAACATACCGTATACTTGTATTTTCGCCGACATCTTTGTATTCGGTCAAGCGAATGTTCTACTGTTAATAGAAAATATTTCATTAGAATGATAACAATGACGCTTCTGATTTTAGGGAATTGTAGATCTGGTCTGGAGGAAGACTGCGTATAGGAAGGTTTTTCACGTGAAAGACGTGGAGTATACTTGTATACGTATGGAAATGTGCATACTTGGCGCAAAAGTCTACCGAGTTTCCTGATTGTGAACAATATTCTTGTATTTGCTGGAATAAAGGTTTTACTCTGTGTAAAAGGTGTTTCCTTCAACCAAAAGTAATGGCGCCGCTGATTTTTGGAAAACTAGAAGACGTTGCCTGGTGACTCCAAGAGCCGATCGGGAAGAAATCGGCGATAAGTCGAGCTCTTGGACGATTCCAGGATCGGCGAAAGACTCGGGGCTCGGTCGCTCTCGCGTGGGCTTCCACGTTGACGGCAAACCCGTTCCCCAGTCGGTATGCAAATGGCCGGTGGAAATTAGTTGAAATGCGAGGAAGCGCCGCGCCGCGGCTCATAAATTCTCTAACTTTAGAAACCCGTTCCGTCCGATAGACGGAAACGCGGATTTTGTAATCCGCGAGCTCTCCGCCGTACGTCTCCCTGCGGACGACTTTATAATTAAACCCACAGGATCTCCGCAACTTCCGCGTGAGAACTAATTCAGAAAAGTTCAATCATACGTGTCTACGGTGCATACCCGTAATACCGATGTCGTGGGTGTGCACACAGCGGCCATCACCTCTTTTAGTTCGAGAACCCGCTTTGGTTCGCGCCAGGTGGCGCCACGTTTAAAACGCAATTTCACAACGCCTTAAGGTGATACGAAAGTGCCGTCCGAGGGGGCATTTATGAAATTTTTCCCCGAACTGGTTCTCCCGAATCGTTTACAATTTCACCACGGAGACCTTAAGGAAGATTTCGACACCCATACCAATTCTTTTACATTCAATTATTAATATTTTATGAATTTTCTATAAAAAATTAAATATCACGGGCTGTAAGACCTTCCATGGGGCCTTCATTTTCAAACATTCAAACGATTCGGTAAAGACCGTTCGGAGGAAAGCTTCGCAAACGATCGTACCACTTTCATATTCCCCTTAAAATGAATTTCTGAAACATTTTCAGATATTGACATAGCCTCCTGCATACGATGGAAAAATGATATGATCGATAAATGTTACATTCGAGTAGATTTTCTTCGTGGCGTGAATTTCGAAATAGGTAAGAAAATTCCTATTCGAATCAGTATTCAATCCGCAGTGTTCGATCTCGGCGTCGCACGTCGCTTCCATTACGTTTCCTTCCCTGGCCAAGTCGCGTCCAGCCGGCGTCTAGACGCATTATTTCCACGGCGCATCTCGCCTCGAAATGATATAGAATTTCGGAAGTTATTTAGTTATGTACGTCTGGCGTCTGAGCCGCGGTCGGCTAGCAATCAGGCCCCCCTCCCGTCTTCCTCTCTTTGTCTTATTAACCTCCCTCTTCTGTCGGACAGTCGGAAAGTTGGGGCCAGGG